TAGTTTTTGGTTTATACACACTCAGGGCTCTTGGTAATTCAAGCAATCTGATTAGTTTGCTATCTCAGACTATGACATATTCACTGCCCTAGGCGGTGAATATAAAGCAAAACAAAATCGCAGTTGTAAATTGGGTGTTTTGCCAAAGTTTCAGAGTAAGAATTTTTGAAAATACAAGAATATCCTAGTATTGATGATTCTGAAGGTAAGAAAAGACTTCATGGAGTTGAACAGCATGATTTATTGTGAAGTGATTTACTTTAGCTGGCTTTTTATACGCTCAAAACAATGTTTACCACCACAGAGCAAAAGCAAGGAGGCTGCTTTGTCACTGTTTTGTGAACTCGGGATTTCCCCACAAGACCAATTTTGCCTATGAGTTAATTTTTATTGGACATAAAAGGAATGCAAATATTTTTGAAAATTGTATGTGCCAGCAGGATAACAAGGCAAAGAACACTGCAGATAAACAACACTCACCTCGATTGTGGCCCCTGTTGACAGCATTTGTAAGAAGCGACAAAAAATCTTTCTCATTCATAGTTAATGAAGCAAAATAAAGCAGATGAATATGATGTTTTATCATGTAAGGAAAGACTTCCAAGGTATTCAAAACAGTGATTCTGAGTGTTTACAGTTTATTCAAGTAGAAGCAAGGCCATTTTTAGGTCCACGTTAAGTAGTATTTTTTGCATTTTACTCTGGCTAGTTTGACTAAATAATGCTCATTTTGGATATGGTTTGAAAGATCTCCTTCCCCTGCCCAAGTTATGTAGTTGTTTATGAATGTGAGAACTGATGACCTCTTTAGTAGGTCAAGGGATCTGGATCAGCATCACGTGTGATAACTGGCATTTCAGGGTCAGGGCTCAAAATACATGTAATGGCTGGTTAAGGGACAATGTCTGGCCAGAAATGGTGACTTTAAAATTGACCAGCCAAAAACTTCACTCACTGGTCATCCTGACGGTCACACATGCACTCTCGCGTCTGAAAAACAGCCAAATCCTCACTTGTAATAGTATTTTAGACTCAGCCAAATCCTCACCTGTGAATCGTAGACTTTGTCTTTTTGTTTAAAAAACACATGTACATTCACTTTCTCCAGTAGAAAATCACACATAAGGGTAAGTTAACTTTTTTCCCAATAAAATTATTATGTTTACCAGTCAGAAACGAGACTTGATTGGGCAAAAATTTCTTTGGCCAGTTATTGTGTTCCGCCACCTACTGAAAATAATTTTGAGCCTTGAGGGATGAATATGTTAAGATTGTTCATGGCTGTTGGGCGTATTTTTTTATATTTTTGTCACAGGGTATTGATATTATGATCTGTGTTATTTTGTAGTTGGTTGCAAGAGGATGCTGATTTGTAGATGTCAATATTGTGAGGACCAAAATTACACCTGCCTTACAGATGGAGCATGCCTGACCACTTTAGAGAAAGTTATTAAAACTGGAGAAATTATGCGAAAAAAAACTTGTACCAATCCAAATCTTGGTGACAAGCTTTCATGTTACAATCCTCCTACACCAACCTCCGTTGCCCACTGTTGTTACTATAACATGTGTAACACAGACATTACTCTTACTTTTCCAACAGCCTCAATGATTTCTAAATCAGTTAGAGGTAAATGGCTACTTTCATACTGTAAATAAGACGATGAACTTGCTTAAAACTATATGTAGGAGCTCTGAGGAGCTGCAGGACAGATAATATTTAAAAGCGACAGTCAGGAAAAATCGAGCAAAATCTTAATTTCATAGCAAGAGTTGAAAAATCAATTTCTTTCATTTTTTTTGTCCATAGATACATGTACCTTTCAGGTAGATAAGAAACCTGATGTAGATTGTTCCCGCAAGAAGCATTTTATTTGTAAGAAAAATTAGAAGATCAGTTTTCAATGTCATAGTCTCAGACTGCCCTAATTTTTAACGTGAAAATATTCTCTAATATCAACTTTCCTCGCATTTGCAAACAATGCCGCATGGAAAAAATCTGAACACTTTCTATGAACAGAAAAATTCTCTTTCTTTCACTAGAAGAAACTTTCAGGGCAGTAGGGAGGCTCATCACACTGAAACAATGCAGTAATGAGGGATAGCTTTTCAGGATAACAAAAGCTTAAGTTCAGTAATTTCAAAGGCAATATTTAACATGTGGTATACACACGGTATCTCCAAACTCCTTTCATTTTGAACTTTCCTTTAAAACATACCAGGGAATTGGCTTGGGTTATTGAAGGTAATCTCTGTAAGACACTATCAAAGTTTATGAATTTTCATGGTAGGCCAGTGGTAACTGTGTAAGGGCCTTGTTTTTTGTATTTCTTGTAGGTTTCCTCATTGCAAAATTGCTTTTTTTAGATCAAAGAGTGAGGCAAAAAGGTGAAACTGGATCAATTTCAGCCATTTTGAAACACTGAACTCTACCAGCCGGCGACTCTGCTTGACATATGTTCAGTGACTGCACGTGTCATAATGTAGGTTTGAAGAGACGTAGCCATCAAAATGGCTGTCACAGAATTAGGATAGTAATGCAACAAAATTCTTGGAAGGGTAACATTTTGATGCTGACAGTGTTTTGAAGAATAAAAAGTCAAATGCGCTATAGTTCTGGTACTCATTTTTTATCAAAAAATAAGGACTTTGGCAATGGTAATTCTCTTAGGATGACATAACAGGAAGATAATTATATTGTCTTGTTACACTACGAAACAATGAAATTTGGAGCCGTTAAATAAGTTATTTTGGTCACGCTTCACTGTATCACTGCTTCACTGACATCGATGCTTTTGTTTGAAGGCTGCCTTGAGTAACCCAAGCCAGTTCTTAGGGATGTGTCAGATGAATGTCTAAATGTGTGATTAAATGAGGGCTGAGAAAATTTGGAGCTATACTGTATAATGCCGCAAAAAACGACTACTAAATTAAAGTTTTGTCACCGCAAAAACTTGTTCTTCATCTTTGAATTATGTCACGTCAGCGAGTCTCGATATTACTTTGACAGTATCTTCTAGTGAAAGAAGAAGAGTTGTTCTATTGATGGGACGTGTTCAAATTTCTCCTTGCGGCTTTGTTTGCAAACGCAAGGAGAGTTGATGTTATCAAATTTCCGGTTTGAAATAGGGCCATTTTGAGACTCCAACCACAAAAACGTATATCCTTAACTTTTCTCCAAAATAAAAGATTTTTTGCTAGAACATTATTTACATCAGATTACTTATCAACCTTAAAGCTATCTATGGACAAAAATAAAGGAAATCAATTTTTGAACTCTTGATGCTCGATATTTCCTGACTGTTGCTCTTTAAGCCTTGAGGTAATATTTCTTTCCCTTTTGCCAACTTGGGGTGAAAACTTGCTGTGTTTGCTCAAAAAAGCACAACAACAACAACAACAAAAATCTCCATTTTTCCTTAATTCTACTTTTTACAGAAGTGCGTGAGCCTGGAGGGTTTTCATGAGAATAAATAATAGTAGCGGGAGAAAGCTGTAACATTATAGGAGAATCTTAATTTTTGAAGAGGCTTCATGTCTGAATAACAAATACAGTGTAGTCATAGGCTATCGAATGCTAGCTGTAGAATTCTGTGTAGTAAGTGGAGAATTCTCCGATCTCTGTTACCCAATGAACACCCTGAGGTAGCTAGTGCTAATTAATCTTGGTGGGCCTGTCAATTAATTTGTAAGGAATAATTTTTTTCTTGTTTAGTACAATATTTCTATATCTATAATACATAAAATATAGGTACATGTAGGAAAGCGTGTACAGTTTACAAAAGTCATAGGAGAGAAAGAATTTACAGTGTACAAAGAATTTTCAGTATAATTATTGTAAAGTTTATGGAAAAAGCTGGGGTCATTTTATACAATGTACTTTTGTCAAGAGGATTTCACCTTAGAAATGCACCATAGCACTATCAATGTTTACCACCACAGAGCAAAAGCAAGGAGGCTGCTTTGTCACTGTTTTGTGAACTCGGGATTTCCCCACAAGACCAATTTTGCCTATGAGTTAATTTTTATTGGACATAAAAGGAATGCAAATATTTTTGAAAATTGTATGTGCCAGCAGGATAACAAGGCAAAGAACACTGCAGATAAACAACACTCACCTCGATTGTGGCCCCTGTTGACAGCATTTGTAAGAAGCGACAAAAAATCTTTCTCATTCATAGTTAATGAAGCAAAATAAAGCAGATGAATATGATGTTTTATCATGTAAGGAAAGACTTCCAAGGTATTCAAAACAGTGATTCTGAGTGTTTACAGTTTATTCAAGTAGAAGCAAGGCCATTTTTAGGTCCACGTTAAGTAGTATTTTTTGCATTTTACTCTGGCTAGTTTGACTAAATAATGCTCATTTTGGATATGGTTTGAAAGATCTCCTTCCCCTGCCCAAGTTATGTAGTTGTTTATGAATGTGAGAACTGATGACCTCTTTAGTAGGTCAAGGGATCTGGATCAGCATCACGTGTGATAACTGGCATTTCAGGGTCAGGGCTCAAAATACATGTAATGGCTGGTTAAGGGACAATGTCTGGCCAGAAATGGTGACTTTAAAATTGACCAGCCAAAAACTTCACTCACTGGTCATCCTGACGGTCACACATGCACTCTCGCGTCTGAAAAACAGCCAAATCCTCACTTGTAATAGTATTTTAGACTCAGCCAAATCCTCACCTGTGAATCGTAGACTTTGTCTTTTTGTTTAAAAAACACATGTACATTCACTTTCTCCAGTAGAAAATCACACATAAGGGTAAGTTAACTTTTTTCCCAATAAAATTATTATGTTTACCAGTCAGAAACGAGACTTGATTGGGCAAAAATTTCTTTGGCCAGTTATTGTGTTCCGCCACCTACTGAAAATAATTTTGAGCCTTGAGGGATGAATATGTTAAGATTGTTCATGGCTGTTGGGCATATTTTTTTATATTTTTGTCACAGGGTATTGATATTATGATCTGTGTTATTTTGTAGTTGGTTGCAAGAGGATGCTGATTTGTAAATGTGAACATTGTGAGGACCAAAATTACACCTGCCTTACAGATGGAGCATGCCTGGCCACTTTAGACAAAGTTATTAAAACTGGAGAAATTATGCGAAGAAAGGCTTGTACCAATCCAGATCTTGGTGACAGGCTTTCATGTTACAATCCTCCTACACCAACCTCCGTTGCCCACTGTTGTTACTATAACATGTGTAACACAGACATTACTCTTACTTTTCCAACAGCCTCAATGATTTCTAAATCAGTTAGAGGTAAATGGCTACTTTCATACTGTAAATAAGACGATGAACTTGCTTAAAACTATATGTAGGAGCTCTGAGGAGCTGCAGGACAGATAATATTTAAAAGCGACAGTCAGGAAAAATCGAGCAAAATCTTAATTTCATAGCAAGAGTTGAAAAATCAATTTCTTTCATTTTTTTTGTCCATAGATACATGTACCTTTCAGGTAGATAAGAAACCTGATGTAGATTGTTCCCGCAAGAAGCATTTTATTTGTAAGAAAAATTAGAAGATCAGTTTTCAATGTCATAGTCTCAGACTGCCCTAATTTTTAACGTGAAAATATTCTCTAATATCAACTTTCCTCGCATTTGCAAACAATGCCGCATGGAAAAAATCTGAACACTTTCTATGAACAGAAAAATTCTCTTTCTTTCACTAGAAGAAACTTTCAGGGCAGTAGGGAGGCTCATCACACTGAAACAATGCAGTAATGAGGGATAGCTTTTCAGGATAACAAAAGCTTAAGTTCAGTAATTTCAAAGGCAATATTTAACATGTGGTATACACACGGTATCTCTAAACTCCTTTCATTTTAAACTTTCCTTTAAAACATACCAGGGAATTGGCTTGGGTTATTGAAGGTAATCTCTGTAAGACACTATCAAAGTTTATGAATTTTCATGGTAGGCCAGCGGTAACTGTGTAAGGGCCTTGTTTTTTGTATTTCTTGTAGGTTTCCTCATTGCAAAATTGCTTTTTTTAGATCAAAGAGTGAGGCAAAAAGGTGAAACTGGATCAATTTCAGCCATTTTGAAACACTGAACTCTACCAGCCGGCGACTCTGCTTGACATATGTTCAGTGACTGCACGTGTCATAATGTAGGTTTGAAGAGACGTAGCCATCAAAATGGCTGTCACAGAATTAGGATAGTAATGCAACAAAATTCTTGGAAGGGTAACATTTTGATGCTGACAGTGTTTTGAAGAATAAAAAGTCAAATGCGCTATAGTTCTGGTACTCATTTTTTATCAAAAAATAAGGACTTTGGCAATGGTAATTCTCTTAGGATGACATAACAGGAAGATAATTATATTGTCTTGTTACACTACGAAACAATGAAATTTGGAGCCGTTAAATAAGTTATTTTGGTCACGCTTCACTGTATCACTGCTTCACTGACATCGATGCTTTTGTTTGAAGGCTGCCTTGAGTAACCCAAGCCAGTTCTTAGGGATGTGTCAGATGAATGTCTAAATGTGTGATTAAATGAGGGCTGAGAAAATTTGGAGCTATACTGTATAATGCCGCAAAAAACGACTACTAAATTAAAGTTTTGTCACCGCAAAAACTTGTTCTTCATCTTTGAATTATGTCACGTCAGCGAGTCTCGATATTACTTTGACAGTATCTTCTAGTGAAAGAAGAAGAGTTGTTCTATTGATGGGACGTGTTCAAATTTCTCCTTGCGGCTTTGTTTGCAAACGCAAGGAGAGTTGATGTTATCAAATTTCCGGTTTGAAATAGGGCCATTTTGAGACTCCAACCACAAAAACGTATATCCTTAACTTTTCTCCAAAATAAAAGATTTTTTGCTAGAACATTATTTACATCAGATTACTTATCAACCTTAAAGCTATCTATGGACAAAAATAAATGAAATCAAATTTTGAACTCTTGATGCTCAATATTTCCTGATTGTTGCTCTTTAAGCCTTGAGGTAATATTTCTTGCCCTTTTGCCAACTTGGGGTGAAAACTTGCTGTGTTTGCTCAAAAAAGCACAACAACAGCAACAACAACAACAATCTCCATTTTTCCTTAATTCTACTTCGTGAGCCTGGAGGGTTTTCATGAGAATAAATAATAGTAGCGGGAGAAAGCTGTAACATTATAGGAGAATATTAATTTTTGAAGAGGCTTCATGTCTGAATAACAAATACAGTGTAGTCATAGGCTATCGAATGCTAGCTGTAGAATTCTGTGTAGTAAGTGGAGAATTCTCCGATCTCTGATACCCAATGAACACCCTGAGGTAGCTAGTGCTAATTAATCTTGGTGGGCCTGTCAATTAATTTGTAAGCAATAATTTTTTTCTTGTTTAGTACAATATTTCTATATCAGTCTATAATACATAAAATATAGGTACATGTAGGAAAGCGTGTACAGTTTACAAAAGTCATAGGAGAGAAAGAATTTACAGTGTACAAAGAATTTTCAGTATAATTATTGTAAAGTTTATGGAAAAAGCTGGGGTCATTTTATACAATGTACTTTTGTCAAGAGGATTTCACCTTAGAAATGCACCATAGCACTAATGAAATTTTCCTCCTTGATGGTGCAGTGCTCATTGGGATTGGTGTCTATTTGGAAGGTTGTTTATGGTACCTTATGTTTAAAAAGATCAATGTGGTCAAGTGCTTATGATAATAGATAAGTGGCCATCTTTGTGTCAAATATACTGAATGGTGGTATAGAATCACAAAGGGAACATTGATACACAACCGCTTAAAAGTAAGTTACTTGCCCTCTCATGAGACATGAATGGTCCGATTCCTGTAGCACAGATTGTAATTTTCCCATCAGGTATGTCCCTAACTATTTTGGCTAATATTCTTGTGCAATGTAAAAAATCCGTTGTAAAGCAGTAAAGAACAATCAAGCTTAATGTAGACACCTGTCACACTGTATAACACTCTCTTTTAATGTCAGTCACTCAGAGATTGTTGAATTGTTTTCAGATTCTGAACAGGGTAATACCAGTGAGATAAGTACAATAGCTGTTGCTGCATCTATTGCTGGTCCAATGTGCGTAATATGCGTTTTGATCATGGTTTTTATTTGGTGGTACCAAAGGAGACAGAGAAAGCAACAAGAAAGGTCAAAAGATGCACAAGGAACACTACAACCTTTAGAGGATGAAGCAGTTATCCCACCAGGACAGACATTGAAGGAGTTAATGGACATGTCAACAGGTAGGTTGGTAACTTATCGTGCCAGGACTTGGGCAGGAAAATAAAAAGATAATGTCGTCATTTATTCACAGCAGGAACTGAGGTAAAGAGTTCATTTTGCAACTTCTTTAGCTATGTATTTTGTGGGATTAATGGGCAACAAACCGTTCTGTACAAGAAAGAGTTATTTTTAATTTCTGGCTACCTGAAGGGTAGGAAGGCACTTTGATGTTCAAATGTGTCATTATAATAATAACTGTTATTTCCTCAGTCACTGGAGGCCAAAGGCCAAGGCTGGTAACACTTAACGAGACCTTGATTGTTTAGGATATGACAAAAACCGAATCTGATGATTGTTTTATTGTACATTGTTTTGAGGAAAATAACAAACAACACAATCGCAAGGAACCTAAATTGATGAATATGTTATTGGAAATCGTGCATTGCACACAACCTAGAGATTAGTCAATTACAAGATCGATCCTGAACATAATTTATCTCGATAACTAACTAATCTGTAGGTTGTGCTGATTTCCATAATATTAGCTGTAGGCACTTAGCCAGTTAGAAGGAGTTATGTGTTTAAAAATTTCTAACCAGTTTGAAAATTTTAAACCAGTTTGAAAAATCTAAACCGGTTTGAAATCTTCAAACTAAAGATTACATTTGAACCACAACATGTGAAACCCCTACAGGGCTAATGAGCTTGACTAATCTCTCAAGGAACACATTTTTCGGACAGACCGCTTTCTGTTTCAAGAATCATGAAGTATACGCCATGGACTGTGACAAATGGCTTAAATTGTAATCCTCACTTACTTGTGTGATAAAATAAAATTTGCCCACTCAGAAAGGAAGAATCAAACAGCTGACAAAATTTTCCACTTGTTCGTGCATTTGAAATGGAAATGTAACCTTTTCAATGTTTGCACCTGGCTAATAATTACCACCGATCGATGAAAAGTAAACAAAGAAACACAAATGGCCCGTAATGTAATTTCACTGCATTGCAGTGCAAATAGTTTCTCGTCTGAAGTTTCCACAATTAAGATAGTCTTGGATAAACCCGCTTCAGAAATCAAGACTTTTGCGTTTAGACATAAGTATGTCACGATTGTGTGAGTTATAAAGTTGCAAATTGCATGTTGAAGCAAGCAGTTTTAAATTACCTAGACGTATATAAAAGTAACAATCTAATACTCGAGTCCCTTGACTGTACCTTCCAACAAAACAGGTTGAGACCCAAAATAGCTGTTTTTCCTGTCAACCTAGCAAAAATTAACAGAAACTGTCACCAAATGAATGACCATTTCCCTTCCTCCCCTCACCCAATGCTGTTTTATAGGGTAACACCAGAATTACACGTTACATGTAGTTTTTAAACCAAAACAACCCCATTGAAAAGGGTTTGGGGAGGGCGGCTTACTTTTCATTTAGACATCACCCAAATAGAGTAATCAAGATCGCTTGCTTTGATTCAAAGATGCTATAGGCATGCAATCTGTGTGAACGTAAACGAGTCAAGTAAACAAGCCAAGTGACGCAAATAGGGTAAAAAGCTTGTTGGAAAAAAGCTCTGCTAGCGGGGTACTTGATCCCACTTTTACAAGAAACACAATTTCCAACAGTGTGGGAACGAAGAAATTAAAAGTGATGAACATGATAAGCAATGCAGGGATAATTTTCAGTACTATTTTGGAGGAAAAGATAAACTTAATCTGAAACTTATGGTATTTTTTACGTCACATAAGAACTGCCTAGTTTTTTTCAGAAGGAAGCATTAAATTGAGGGATTAAATCGGTCAAAATATTTGTAATTTAAAACAGGTTTCGAATACATGTAAGTTATCTCTCAATTTGACTAAAACGAACTTTATAATTTTTTTATCTGAGGCCAAAGAAAATTAATGTTACTGTTCCTCTTGTTATGGAATACTATAATCAAGCAAGTCATGGAAACTCTTAGGAATCTCATTTTAGTTTTTGTTTCTCAAAAGATCTCGAAAACTGTGAGAAAAGCTCACTATTATCTATCATTCAAATCGTTGCTGACCTTATATTACTCTCCAGTATATCCCTACGTAACATACTGTAATGTTGCCTGGTCCTCCATCTATTGCTCTAACCTAAATTGTATTTACCTTTTGCAAAAGCGGGTGGCTTATGTCAAAAGCTCACTATGTAGCAAATACTGCCCTGTTATTTAGCAAGCGTAAAGTCCTTGACATATATAGTGTTAATTCTTTTTCTGTAGCTACATTTATGTATTCCTATCACCACAATCTTTTGCCTAGTAGCTTTTCATAACCTCTTTTAAGTAGTAACCAGGTTCACCGTCATGAAACTCGACTAGCCTCTCAATATAGACCTCATTTTTGTGGAACTAATATTAAGCAGTTCAGTATCCTTTATCGAGGACCAACAATCTGGAATTCTTTACCAGTTACACTAATCAGCTCCTCTTCCATATTTGTTTTTAAAAATATCTGAAAAATTATCTCATTAATAGTCGTTCTGTCGCTTAAGTTTTATGTTTTCTGCTCTCTCTGCAATCAAGTAAGCCTTTGTAATATAGCTTATGGAAGCCTATTAATATATGCTCCCACCTTCTTTAGACAACTTATATTGTAATTAACACCTCTTGTAACTTTTTATTATTATGTAATGTGAGTGACTAAAAAAACAAGTGAATGAATGAAATGAACTCCAGTGGCCACCAGCTTGATTTGAAGCCCGTGATAGTAGATGGAAGTATGGTCAAGACTTAGAAAATAGATAAAACTGTCTCAAGAGTTTTGTCTGATGGTGTTGTCTTTTTGAAAAACATTTTTAACTGAACAATGTTTTATTTTTTGCAGGAAGTGGCTCGGGATTGCCTTTATTAGTTCAACGGACAATAGCGAGACAAATTCATCTGGTAGGACTCATTGGTAAAGGAAGGTTTGGTGAAGTTTACAAAGGGCTCTGGCGAGGTCAGAGTGTTGCAGTCAAGATTTTCTCATCTCGAGATGAGTGCTCATGGTTTCGTGAAGCAGAAATCTATCAGACAACCATGTTGCGGCACGAAAATCTGTTAGGTATGACAACTTACATTTTGTATACTCTTACCGTTTTTCCTTTTTTAAATAATAATATGATATACTTTTACTTGATTTGACCTGAGTGGAATTCTTTTAAACTAGTTGGTGTTAAAAGAGGCCTGCCCAAATGTATCTATTAGAGTGTTGGTTATGTTTTTTAATTGTACAATGAAGAATGGTGGAACTTTATGTTAAAAAATGCTTTCTTTTCAAAACATCATGCCGGGTAAACTTACATGTAGACAACTTCTATTTTATCATTCTTATTTGTTCCCTGCTTTCTATACAAATTAATCTTGACAAAAGGAAAACATAGCTGCATTTACCAACATTTCCTTCCAGTGTTTAGCACCTTAGATTCTCATTTACGGAGAGATATATCTGCCAATTCCAGCATTTCCAAGCATCCATTTTTCAGCTGCAATTGTGCTTGGTAATTTATTCAAGTCCGTCACATTCACACAGGCAGTTTGCCACTTGGGGACAATAAGAAGAATAATATGAGCATACAGTTGTTTATATAGAATACTTCATGGAAAGTGGGTGCGTACGGTATGTGCACATGAGTTGTTCACGTATCAGAAATCAAACGAGTGAGCGCAGTGAATGAGTGAGATTTCTGATACAAAAACATGCAGTGAGTGCGTAAATACAGTACAAAGTGCTTTCCACGTGGCATTGTGTTTACTTATAATTATTTTGGCATATTGAGACATTCATCATTTTGCCAGCCTGTTATTTCAAATCTTCCCAAACTCGTAAAATACCAACATTTGCCACTACACTTTGCGAAATGACAAAGAAAACGAAGTATGTTAAGCTTCGTGCAGTGAAACCTATATTAAGCGGACCCCCAATTAAGCGGACACCCTTTATTAAGCAGACACTAAACTGGGTCCCGAAATTAACTGATATTTCCCTTTATAACAAACCCCTATTCAGCGGACACCTCTATTAAGCGGACGCGGACACTAAAATAAATTGTATTTGGCTAATTTTCTCGGTTTTCACATGACGTCACCGAAATTCAAACTGAGAAACTATCGATTCTTCTCAGTTTCTGAGTTTCATGTGAGGTATTACGGCACCTAAACACCTATATTAAAACGAAGTTTTGGTTCGAAAGGGTTCTTCGTTTTGCTACAACCTCGTTCCCAGGGTGGGAACGAGGTTGCGTTTTGCTATAGAGGACGTTTGAATTTCGAGGCTTTTGCGTGACGCGGCATTTAGCTGGCGGCCAGTAAGGCTCTTAAAAAAATGAACCATTTTTTAGTAAAATGGCGGTTTGAATATAAATCGAAGTTAGGTGGCGGTGCTTGCTTTATGTGATGATCTTTCCCTTACAGGTGAAAAGTGTGCGGAATCGCTTTTCATTGAAATTCATAGACCTAATGAAAAGATATTCTAATCGGGACATTAAACCGTCCTCCCGACCAGAATGTGCAGGATTTTGATGGCAGCGTAGATCAGCTTATTACCTAAATCCCTACCTTTTCAGGAGAATTGTAAATAAAGCGATCACGTACTTGCTAAGTTGATTAAGGCAAATAGGTGTCTGTTTGTATTAAGATCTTTACGAAAGGAAGGTTTCAGTCAAGGTGAAGTAGACCACCTATAGTACCGATCAAAAGTAAGTTACCACCCTCTCGCGTCGCGCGCTACGCGATTCGCGTAGCGCCAAGGATAAAAAACTGTAAGTACAGCTCTATCCCAGCAACTTTGTCGCGTGACAAACAATCAAAGTAGGCGAACCGAAAATGACAAGAACGTTGGTATGACTAATAAAAAAATACGCACGTACAAGGGCCATTTCGGAATATTTAAGTCATGTATTAAGCGTATAATTGTCAAAATTCTGTAAATGATGGTTACAAATCCGTCAAGCAGTCACTCTTTCTCTATTTACAAATGTAATGATTCACCTGTTGATTCTAGAAGTCGATACTCTGCGAGCAGAGGCCCTTCGAAGGGTGAGAAGCAGAGGGTTAATTTTGATCGCACGGTTCTTTCGTCGATGTAGCTCAGAGACTCGAAACCATAAAACATTTTTCTTCATATAGCACTCACAACTCGAAACCATTGTTGCCGAGATTTCAAACACGGTCAAAGATCTTGTCTTGTTATTCTGTATCCATTCTTTTGGGTTTGCATGTAGATAACATTAGCTTGGGCTTTGGTTTCGAGCGACATGTGAACATTGTTTACGAATGTTCAAACACGGAGTTGTTGAAATACTTTGTGTCGATGATACACAGAAACACTGTAGTGTACTTACGTGAACGAAGCACGACACTTGCTGAGAGACTATCACAGATAGTTAGCTGTTTTGAAGTTCATTCAACAAATGTAGGTAAATAATAGCGGTGCAAAAGGACGGTTTCGTTGAAGACCCAAGCGGTTTTTGCATTTGCCGCCTTCAAAAATGGAAAATGCTAACTGCGCTCACATCACTTCGCTTGTCGCTTTGTAAAACTGTAAACAGTAGCCAGAAAAGATACGCAATGGCGTAAGTGCGTGGTATGTATCGACGAGTTTTTAAGGAGGAAAAAAGGGAAGGGGAAGCCAGGCAAGATTAAGAAATAAGAGTTGAGAATTAAATAACTGAAGCCTGAGTGAGCAGGGCCATAGCCAGACAGAGTTACTAACTGAAGTAAAATCGGTTCAACAATGAATCCTCTATAGCCGGCTAGGCGATATCTATTTTTAGTTTTTTTTTTCATTTGTTTCACAAAAGGCACATGAAAGGGACTTGAACTCTGGCTAGGCGATATCTGTTTTTAGTTTTTCTTTTTAATTTTTTTCGCATGTTTGGGAAAAGACTTTATAATAGTAGGAGCTAACTAGGTCCAGAGCTTTATCCTAGAAGCGATATGATTCTAATTTTTTAATAAGAAGGGGAGAGTAAAGTGAATCAAATGCCTTTCTCATATCAGTAAGTAACATGCCAACTAATTTTCCACTATCTAGCTCCATTTTCCATTCTTCTACAAGTTGGATGAGGGTTGTCTTGAAGCTGTGTGTTTTCCTATATGTTGTTAAGTTATCACTGAGGGTGGGGTCCACGAAATTTATAATTTGTTTGCTCAATAACTTTTCATAAATGAGACTGGGAGGCAAGCCATCATAACCCGAAGCTTTATTGGCATTCAGGCATTCCATTTCTTTCGTTAACTCTGCTGGCTTTACGCTGGAGAAGGTGAAAGGTGGTCTATCAGATCCACTCAACGTTTCTTTTATGTTTTGTACACAAAAATGTGCACTAAAATTTTCTTTCTTTAAGTTTAGGGTGTCTGTACCGTCAATGTTGTTTGCTTTTGGAGAGAAATAATAAGATCAGAATTCCAGTGTTTAGAAGGATAAGATAATAATGTTTCTAGTCTACCATTTATATTAAGAGTGATGTTGTTCCCAGCACATGCATCCTTTTTATGGTTTAAGAAGCGATTAAAGGTGTTGTAGAATTGCTTAGAGTTAGAGCTCAGATTATTGCACACCTTTTGCCAATAGGACCTAATTGATTTGCGCGTCTTAACCTTTTGCCAATGGGACCTAATTGATTTGCGTCTTAACTTTGTAGCCTCATTGCGCCATTTGTTCTTGAGTTCCAGATTGAGCTGTTTTCTGTTTTTGCTGAATTGTTTTGAGAACTTCCTTTTGTTTCTGATAGCTCTCTTCATTCACTTGTCATGTAAGGGACGTCTTGTTCTCGTACTCTCAGCTTCTTAAAAACGGCGCATGTTCGTCCAAGACATAATTCAGTAGACTTTCCCAGAAGCTACACTTATCCTCGATCGAACCAAAAATTTTCGCCAACATGCCACGGTGCAATATGCAGATTGTATTTCAGGTCTTCTTCATTGATACCATTAAGATTTCGAAAGGTGATAATTTTACTTGGAGGATATGTAGCCTTGATTTTCAATATCCAGTATACCAATGCGTGGTCGCTCAGTTGTGGGTTAAAAACAGCACACCCTTGAAAGAGGTATGGCTTGTTAGTGAGAATGATATCCAGAAGGTCTGTGATCTGTTATTCTAGTGGGTTTCTCATTGAGGTAAGAAAAAACATGTATGTCTTCCAGGTCTAACAATATCTTGCCCTCTTTTCGTTCAGGTCTCAAGCGATCTAGGTTGAGATCCCCAAGAACTATAACAAAATGCTTTTAAAGTGAAGCAAAGATACAGATGTCGTTTAGTTCTTCCTCTAACCTGAGGTAGTATTGCTTACCGATAGATTTTGGGGTCTGTAGATTCCCACTACTACTACATCAGTTTTTCCAAATTTGGCTTCAACGATTAATGGTTCTATAGTTGAAAATTTACGGTGAAATGGTAATTTCGTGGATGGTGTTCCCGAGGATATAAATGCCATAATACCGCCCCACCCTTGGTACGGTCACTGGGGAAGATGCATGTCATAGCAACTGATTTTGAACTGAGCAGTAGAATAAGATGCTTCAATTTTTGTTTCTGTAAGAAAGAAGACTTGCGCTTTGATTTCTTTCATAAGCTGTTTCACTTCCTCAGATCTATTTTGGACTCCACTGATGTTCAAATGCATTACGAGAATCTCTCGGTCATCATCGTTCCTTGATTTAATAACTTCTAGAAGGGAATTCGCCCTGGTGTTTGACAAGTTCGACGTGTTTAGTGTCTGTGCATAATATTCGCCTTCGTCCGACAAAATTGATTCATCAGCAAAAGGTAGGGCGCTTAAAAAACATGCTGGGCAAATCCAGTTTGCTGGAGGCGTTTGTACTCCCTAAGCTTCACTCGACTGCACTTCATATGGCACCACAGTGTGCATTGATCACAACTTAATGCTCGGTGGTTACTGGCAATTACCTTTTTGCAAACAGAGCAGCTTGTAGGGCCAGGATTTAATTCAATGTTTCCTCTGACAGTAATACACGTAAATTGATATCTTGAATCAGAATTCGGATAATACGGTACTCGTGACGCTAGGAAGCCTCTCCGACAAGAGGACAATCCAAAATGGCGGACTTCACAAACTTGTCCATGCAGGACGTTTGCAGACAAGAAACCAAAGCTCATTGGTCTGTGGAATACCTTTCCTTACCTTTCTTTTTCTTCATTGCCTGAGCTGGTTACGTACAAGAGTAGGAACAGAGTTAAAGGCCAAAAGTATCGAGACCAAAGGCACGAACATCCGGTCGCTATTTTAATTTTTTTTTTTGATACCTTGTTCCTTCGTATTATTTTTACTCTGCCTTCGCCGTTCAGTTAAATTAAATTTTGTAATTTAATAGGGAAAGCCCACGTTGTATAAGCCTCTTGGTTTCTTTGGACTTTCGTGCCATTTCCTGGCGATTCTTGTCATCTGTTTCTATAAAATAAGTAAAATAACTAAACTAAATAAACTTAGCCTAACATTTAAAGATTAAATTTGAACAGCATTTTGTGCAGACTGCCTTTTATGGTCACAATATTGTCTTTAAACGTGCAGATACAAAACTAGGAAGCCCTTACGTGTTTTACTGAATTTAGGGGAATATGTCGTAGGATTTCAAAGTTGCATTTATTTAGTACATTTTTTTGTGATAATGCAGGTTTAAGTAGTTGCTGATACATGTATCTTTATACCTACAAGAAAATCAATAACATTTTTTCGTAAAGACCCACCATTCTTCATTAAAGATGCCAAAAAGCATCGAAATCTGTTAATGGTAAAAAGTTTCAGGCCACCTTAACTTTGCATTTTGGACCACCGACCTATTCTCTATATGTTTAAAACACTCTGCTTTTGTGTTACAATAAACTTTAGTTTTGCAGCCCTCCAGGAAGGACTTTATATATTCCCAAGAGCTTTTGAAAACAATAACCTATGGAATTTTGTTTGGGGAGGGGGGTGGGGGAGTGGAAGGGGCCAAACAGGATTTATTAGGGGATTCATAAAATATATACATCTTACTAGTGAGAACGTCCTGTTCATGAAGAGAATAGTGCAAAGAAAAGCCACAGACTATTTTTATTGCAAGACTAGTAAGTTAGAACTATAATAAGATGCAGCTATGACACAGAGTTTACTGACAATATAAGTGTTGTTCAAAGATGCTCGGAAAGTAACATTTTAATTAATAATGTTAAATGAATTATCTTCTCAGGCTTTGTAGCCGCAGATAACAAAGATAATGGTGCTTGGACCCAGCTGTGGCTTGTAACTGACTACCTGGAGAGAGGGTCTTTGTATGACTACCTTCAGTTTGTTACTTTGGATGTTGAGGCAATGCTTAAAATGTGTGTCTCTATTTCCAGTGGATTAGCACATCTCCATATAGAGATTGTCGGTACCCAGGGTAAACCTGCGATTGCACATCGGGACTTAAAAAGCAAGAACATTCTTGTGAAGAGAAATGGTAAGGAAGTGGATTTAATAACATCAACAAGTCGTTATCAAAAGGATATCACAATATACACTGAATGTCAGGTCCCCAGAGAAACAGTTTTGTTTTTTTTTTTGAGACCCCTGAGAAAACAAAACTAACTGGTTTCCCAAGAGTCCTGACGTTAAGTTTTTTGCTATATTCCTAGGCTTTCACTTCAAAAGTAGCAAAGAATAAGTAGAGCGAATCAAAACATTGTTGGTACTTGTAAGAACAAATTTAATTTTAAAATCGCCAAATGAATGACTTTCCTACCTTCCTTTCTTAACTTTCCTTAGGCGTTATATGCATCTTTTTACTCCAGTTGCTGCTGTTTCTCTTCTGGGATAACTTGAAAATTTGTTGCTTTTTAGCTTACGGTTTTTATGTTTGGTTTTTTGTTTTCATTCACAAGGGTGAAAACTGGCAGTGTGTTTTTCCCGCCTTCTGTCACGTCACTTTCCACCATGCTTTGGTCACGTGATGTTGTATCCTGAGGGGGGTACAATTGATCAAAATGAACTTATCAAGATCGGGATACATTTGATTTTAGTCAAGGAAGTCCCTGTTTAGTTGAGTGAAAGCCTACATCTGTAGGAATATAGGAATATCTGGTTTTTGATTTTAGATGGCTCCAAGCCATGGAAAGGTTACCTTTTTTATATCTAACTACTTCATAGTTAACCGACTAGCTAATAACACTGATAAGCATACTGTCCCAGGAACACACTGATTCTTAACATCTCATTGTTGTGAGATTTTTAAAGTCCTTCGTGTTTCATTCATCCCAAAAATATTTTTTACATCTTAAGTATGACTGGACAACCGGCAATTTGACAAACAATAAACGACTGTTAAACTGTGACAAAAGACAGATCGAAACACGCCAGTGGACATTTCGAGTCTTCATAGCCAACAGCATCATGGCTTAACTGACAGACGATTGTGACTTAATTGACCAATCAAGTCTCTGGTGAAAAACCAGGGAGAGTTTAATACCATCGTCTCACGTTATGCAACTCACTTTGACTCTGAAGATTACTACTGCACGGGTTGTTGGAACATCAGTCACTGTCAACAACAGTCCTATACAGGACTACGTTCACCTGGACGGTCATCCTCAACCTACTCATGTAAAGTATAATAATTATGCTGAGATTTGTGACCGACCGGCTAAACACTCTGTTTATGATTTTAGTCCATGTTCAGCTGCCTGGAGTAACTGCTCTCTCTGTCTCCTCTTTAAACTCCTTTGTCTTCAGAGCAATACTGGGGAGTGTTTTCTGACTTCCGTCATGCCTATTTTATCTTATATCCTCATAAATACATATACAGTGGATTCCTTTTGCTTTGTTAAATACAGGAAACGTGTTTTCTTCGTTGTTAACATAATCCTGTAAATAAATCTGTGTGCTCCCAAATGCCTCAAAACCGGTTTTCATATTACCTGTAGGGCCGTTTTTATTACCAATTTTAAAGGTGCCATGCCCTCAGCATGTAGCAACTCAGGGAAATGCACTTTACTGGTCTATACTGTCACTTAACTTTTCAGTTCTACACCTTCGCTACTGCAACTTAATTCTCTTAAAATGCTATCGTTTCTTCCCTTACATTTGTAAGTTTAAATCAGTTATGTGGACAAGTTTATATTGAACAAGTAAACATGAGTTCAGGGCTGCTAGCATTTTGTACACTTGTGCCCATTTCACTTTATTCATAACTTACAATGTAATAACTAGATTTGCAATACATTTTGCATTGAGTAGTAGTCAAGCAATTTATTGGAAATGATTATTTGAAGGAAGGAATTTCAAACTACAGTTTACATGTATCAGTATGACAAAGAGGATTTGCTTTCTGGTTTGGTAGGGACATGTTGTATAGGTGATTTGGGACTTGCTGTGCGTCACAACTCAGCTAATGATACAGTGGATGTGCCACATGGCAACAAAGTTGGAACGAAACGTTACATGGCACCAGAGTTTCTTGAAGACAACTTTCATGTGCGACATTTCGATGCCTACAAGCGTGGTGATGTGTATGCCTTTGGTCTTGTATTGTGGGAGATAGCTAGGAGGTGTGTGTTCGGAGGCACTTGTGATGAATATCAATTACCGTACTATGACAGAGTTCCATCTGATCCCAGTGTTGAAGACATGAGGAAAGCGGTTTGTATCGAAAACTTCAGGCCAGTTGTTCCTGCCAGATGGAGTCAAGATCAGGTACTTTATTTTATCTGACATTTTATCAGCTTGTTGTATAACTTCCTGTTGGTATTGTGAATCTTACACAATAAATTGTATTATAACTTCATTGCTGCAAAATGTGACCTTCTTTGAATAAAAACAAAATTTCAGAAAATCAGAAAGACCTGTTAAATGAACTTCTGGCGGGTGACTCATCAAGTGCCTAATGTCAGAAACTATCGCCATCTTTCACCAGTGACCTTCCGTAGCTATTAATTTTAATCAGAGGGATTGCTTAGTCACTCAAGTGTTGCATAAGCCAACAGCTGTGCTTAAGAAGAAGGCAAGGCTTTTTTACTTAAGAGGCAATGCAGACAATTGGTAGTTTATATTGTTATTATGAAAAACAAAGGGGACAAAAGGGTGAAGAAGAAGTTGGAGAAAAGATGAAGAGACCACAGCTTTGTAAAACAATCAATATTCACTTTACACCTTTTTTGTCTTGAATACTTCATCAAAGACTGTGCTACATTTGTGAATTTTTACAATAAAGATTTTGATGTGCAGTGAAGACCCACCTTACGGCCACCTTTGTAATACGGTCGCCTCGTTATTACGGCCACGTTTCTTTGCGCGACAAAACGGCTGTACATTTTCTTATAAAAAAACCCTCGTCAATACGGCCAACGGCCACATTTTAAAGTCCCAAACAGAAGAATCGTATATAATTATACCCCGTTAATATGGCCACTCGTTCGAAATTTAGGAAATTAAAATGCTTGAGCCTGATATTGTGTTGTTTTTTGGACTTCAGTATACGTAAAATGCATTTGTGGCGGTTTAATAGCCGATTTTTCGAAGTGTTACCTTTACTGAAGGAAAGTTTCAAGTAGTTTTTGCAATTACTGTACCTGAATTTACATTCCGGGTGTTTGTTAAAGAGAACAGTTGTTCAAGAAGTGGGAATGCGATATATGGTGTATTTGTTGTTTCTAGCCCTTAAGTAATGAACTTTGACCCTGCCCCAGTAATACGGCCAGTTTTTTTTACCCACTGTATATTTGTGAGGCTAGACACTCTTAACAAACTTAGATAACTCAGCACTCTCCTTGCAAATAAGTTCAACATGTGCTTGTGTATACTAGTAAGAGCTGCAAATTTAAAGATTATTCAATGCCATGAACTTAATGCTGACCAGTGGACACATGTAATCATTGTTATTATTAACATTGTGTCAAGACTTTCTGTTATTCTCACACTTACACACTGTAAATTTGTTTTTTACAAGTGTTATTATTTCCCATGTTCAACACATTTTTGAAATCCATCACCAAGAATCGCGTCTTTCTGTTTTCTGTTTTTCCACTTTATGCAGTTTCTCCACGAGAAGACTCACAACTGTTACTCTTGCTCTACAGGCACTGCAGTCTGTTTCAAAGGTTATGAAGGAATGTTGGTATGGAAACAGTGCTGCACGACTAACAGCCTTGAGAATCAAAAAGACTCTGACAGCTCTCTGTCAAGCTTATGATGTGGATATCATGGTGTAATAATGCTGCTGCCCTATGGATATCACAACCTAAATTTTCTGAAAGCAGATGATTGACATCCTCCTGGCATATGGATATCTTACTTAAAGGATCTTCCTACAGTGTACATGTAGCATGCGGATATCCTGTCCAAGTATCCTCTTGGAAAGTGAATGTTTTGTGCATGTGGATTACAAGCAACAAACACTGTACCTACACGAACAACGTGGGCATGTACCACACTACTGCCAAAGGTACAATGAAGAAGCTGGCACCACCAGTAAGACACTGTGCAGCACATTTCTCGTACTAATCTAGGTGAAAAACAGACCCCAATATTTGGGGCAGTTCATTCAAACAAAGCTCTTTCAGAATATTATTAGCCACACATGGACCTTTGCCATTCACCTTCCCCATGTAAAGCAAACGCTTTGTCATTACAAATATTTTATTCACTAAATTGAAATGCGTTTTTCATTTATTAGTACATATCAAAACCATTAGATATCATATCCCTTTCATAAGTAGGTGTAATGCGATTGTCCGGAAGAGTATAGTCCAGAATAGGACTGCTGTTGACAATGTCTGACATTGCGACAACCTGTGCCGAAGTCATCGTCAGAGTGAAACTCAAGGTGACAAGGTGTTAGTGACTGCTTGTTAGCCAATTACATCACTGCTTTACAGGCAGACGACCAATAAAATCGCCGTTTACTTGACCTATCAGGTCAATAAACACAGGCAAATACCATCAACTGACGTTGCACAACTCACTTTGTCTCAGATGATATTGTGAAATGTCAGCAATAGTCATATTTAGGACTACATTCACCTCCGTTCACCTACTTTTGACTCGGCTCCTGGGCTGAAGCCATTTTCAATTCCCAGCTAGTTGTGTCATTGCACAAAGTGGATGGAACAAAGCAAACTTGTTTATGAAATCCAGGAGAAATATAGATAATTAGTTTCAAGTCCTCTCTGGAACTTGTGTAGGTAACCAGATGTCAAGAAGGACACCATTTAGTGGCCTTGTGCCAGCATTTTATGTATCATATGTTCTTATCACAGTACTTTAAGTACAGTACTTTTTTGTTGGTGTTTGGAACAGCAAAGAGTTTTTCTTATGGGACACTAGAAGTGTTGAAGTGTATTTATGTTATGATGGTAGATTTGTGGTCAAAAATAAGGGTTTTTTTTTTCCTGTATGAAGTTTTTTTTATGTCGATTGTAGTTGATTATATTATTGCTGTTACTAGAAGCATTTTTTTGAAATAAAGTTTAATTACTTATTACAGAAACCAATTAACTAGTTTCCAGTAGTAATGTCCGATTAATAAAGGCATACAATAGCATTTGACGTAACATTTAGAATGTGCTGCAAAACCTGATTCAGTTAATTTAGTATTTTCGGTTGTTTTTCCTTTTCTTCCCAATTTTTTTTTAAGAAAAGAAATATTTTTCTGAATGCTAATACTCCATTGTCTTCCCCTGTAATTTAGTAACTCGACCGTTTCAGGGCAGAGAACGTCGCTTAAAAAAACCTTAACGGAGCTAAAAAATAAGAATATTTAAATTACTATCTTTACCGATAAAACTTAAAAGATTTTTGACCCTTCAGGCTCAGTTTAGCATACGAACACAGCCGTCTCTCCTCGCTCCTCACCCCCAGAAGCAAGACGAGACAGCTGTCTGGCAGGAAAAGGTCATTAGTTACATGAACTAATGACGGTGCACATGCTTGTTCATGTTTCCACTTACTGTAAACTGTCAAATGAAATCCCATTTGATAAAGCAAGACGATCACACGCCTCAGAAGTTTGGCCGCGGTTGTGAGTAAGGCACGTATTATTCGAAAATGGCTGACCCATGATGGTAAGTGAAACGAAAGTAAATGGCCTTAGATTTTTAAGACAAACCAAAAAGAGAGAAGGAAAGTAGATGTATGGTCTTTTGGAAAAGTACCCGATAATTGCTGGTGAGCAGTGTTTCTCTTTAGGTTCCTAAATTTTCTCAGTACTCTTCCTAAAAAAGTCCAGAGTTCCCATTGAAAAAATCCCGTAAAAAAAGACAAACATCCACACAAGATTTTTTTTCTATGGCGTAAGCGCTCCTCCCCTAAATCCGGGGACTTTTATTTGAAACTGTCAATCAACCTTCCCGCGCGTAATGTAATTTCCGCTAAAAATGCACTTCCGGTTCAGTCTTACAAACAATTCTTTTAGAAAAAAGGCACAAGAAATAATCCTTAACAAGCAGTAAGGTGGACGACTACGTTTTCCAGTCCTCCCACCATCGACGCTATTAAAAATTGTTGACGATGGTTAAAAATATCACTTTCGAGCAGATGAAAAATCTTTTAAAGCAGGAGCTTGCTCCTGTAAATGCAAAATTGGAAGAACTATTTAACCAACTGAATGAAATAGATTCAACGGTAAAGTTTTTGAAAGACACTGAACTTTGACGGGCTATTGAACGAGATGAAGAACACGAATGAAAATGTCACTCGCCTTGCCTCGGACATGGCAGACAGTAAAGTGAACATAAGGAGAGTGGAGAAACATGCTATTGATGAATGAATGAACGAATGAATGAAGCTTTATTTCATCTCGGGTTTGATGAGGTTGATTAGACCTCTATCAAAAATATGCTAATAAGCCGAGAAACAAAATAATAGAGAAAGAAAGGGAAATCCAAAAACTTATTTACAGTGCAAAGCCTAAATAGACCAGTTGCACGATGGCGTCATTTTACTACTACGACCAGAATTCTTTTCGTTTTTCGTTTCATATTTAAATTTGGTAGCCCCAGTGAGGTTTAAATAACAAAAGCCCTAATTTGCACAAGAAAGCAAAACCCTGAAGGATTCTGGTCATAGTAGTAAAATGACGCCATCTTGCAAATGGCCTATTACGTAATATAGCTATTTACAATGAAAAGCCTAATTACATAATAGAATATAGATATTATGGAGAATTAGCTAGAACCTTAGCTGGCGGACTGCTTTTTTAAAAGCTGACAATGTACTTAGGGATCTTAAGCTTAAGGTTAAAGAAAGATACATCTGTTGAGGGTGAAGAGATCACGCAATGCCTGAGGCGAGACTGCCTAGCTATAGAGATGACGGGAGCCTATGGCAAACGAGGACTGTTCGGCGGAAGCCATTGTCACATCAATTGGCAGCCTTATGGGAGTCTTACAGGAGTGCCAGTAAAGGGGAATTACCGGGAATAACCCGCCGCGGTGTCAGAAACAAATTCTGTTGTAACAGAAGAAAATTGGCGATGACATGCGATGAACAACGCAAAACCCTCAACCTGTCATCCCAAGCCGATGTATTCATATCTGAGTCACTCACTCCATTCAAGAAAAAGGTCTTCGGTGATGTCAACAAAGTGAAAAAGAAACTTAAATGGAAGTCAATTGATTTGGACATATAATGGAAGTTTCTTTATTAGGCAGGACGAGAATAAGCCATCTTTCTCGTTTCACCGGGAAGAAGATCTAGCTAAATTTAAATCACACAAGTCGCGCTTAACGCTAGATATGTATAGAAGGTATAAAAGTTCACAAAGTAGAGCACATTATGGCCATTCAAGTAATCGTCCTTAACGTGTTTAGAATATTTATTTTAACTTGTTTTATTTTTGTTATGGATTTGTTTTGATCATTTCGAATTGAACCATTATGTGCTCTCTAAACTTCCATTCTTCACTTTGGATTCCCAAAAGTTTCTTAGGATTACTGGAAGTTGGTTACACCAGTCGTTTCAGTCTGTTATGGAGTCTAATCACTAAAAAATGGAGTAGAATTAATCATTTTCGAATTGAACCATAGTGTGCTCTATGAACTTCCAGTCTTCACTTTGGATTCCCAAAAGTTTCTTAAGGTGGCTCGATACAGTTTTTCGGGGCCAATACCTCCCAAGTTTGAGCATAAACTACGTCGCCATAAACAAAGTTTTGGAAAAATTGCCACCACAGTTGTATTAGATAAAGATGAAAATTTGTTATGATCAGGGTTGCAACGGCATTGGAGTTGTCATAGCAACGAAATGACGCTATTACCTAAGATTACCTTAAGATTAGTGGAGGTTGGTTACACCAGTCGTTTCAATCTGTTATGCAGTCTGATCACTAAAAAATGGAGTAGAATTGTCTCAAAGACAATTTATCCAATCGTATGTTGGCAGACTGTAATAACACACACACACACACTTGAATTTAGTTCGACATGGCTGCCTGGATTGACATTACGGTAGCGTCTCAGAGACTTCTAGTTGCTTCTATGTATCGCCCACCTGATTATATTACGTTCTTAAACCAATTTTCTTCTACATTGGATCGCATATGGATGAAACGAACTAATATAATTTTACTGGGGGACTTCAATTTTAATCTGTTGCCAAAAGCTCAGGACACAGGTTCTTCAATCTGGAAATTCCGTCAACTTTTGAATAAATTTAATCTAAAGAATGTTATCAACAAAGCAACAAGGATCACTGACTCCTCCGCAACGCTAATTGATCTGATAATCTGTTCTGACATTTCAAAAATTTCTCACCAGGGTGTTTGTGACTTGGGAATTTCAGATCACCACTTAATATATGCAGTCATAAATCTCAAAAGGAAACGTCAGAAACCAACGCTCAAAACAGTCTATGATTACAAAAAAGTAGATC